CATTTCTGAACAATATTCCCTAGCACTTGGAACAGAAGAATCTTCAATTGTAAGAAGTGCTTAATACTTTAAAGGGCAGAGTGAACACGTGCAGTATCAACACTAAGGATGAGGACAAACATCTCTGTAACCCAGAGGAGCTGATACAGCATGGACACGTTTCTGGTCCACCACATAAATGCAGGTGTTAACATTGCTAGCCTCAGTATTTTCAATGCCACACCAAGCAGATTTGTGAAAGTACAGGTTACATTTCGTTTAGAAGCAAGATGCAATAAGAGCACAGTTAAGTAAAAGCATTTACCCTTTTCTTTCACTCCAAATAGCAGCCCAGAAGAAAACCAAAAAACATAATGAACGTTGAAGAAATTTTCTCCTAGATCTCCACGAGAAGGGGAACCACGTGCCAGTTTTAGGAACAGCCATTGTCTCATTATCTGGATGCATCTAAAGGCACCTCCTTGTGAGAACTTCTGTAATGAACAGACCAGCAACCTGCCCTGACACACGGCTAAAGCAGCTGCAGTCACTGTCAGATGTACAGGCTGGTGAATACATGCGCTGTGACCAAAAAAACCCCAAACCTAAATCTTCCAGAAACAGAAGGTTAGGATCTACAAGTATTGTGTTCACATTTGAATTTAAAAAATCCCTAAGCTGCACACGTTCTAGGTTCTCATCTGTTAGACACAACATACCTGTGGAAGGAGGTGCCTGGAGGGGTTTGCCTTGCACTTGCTTCTGTGTCTCACTCTTTGGAAAGGAGGCCTTTGGAGCAGGAAGTGCAAAGGGCAGCGCATTTCTTCATGCTGACTCTGCATCCACATTTCTTTGCATGCTTCACAGATGCCACTTTTCCTGTCACTGGAGCTGACAGTGTGAATTCCATATTGCCCAGCTGAGTATCACACCTCGAATGCTGCCAGGTACTGCAATCACATCCAGAGAAGTCACTGTCAAGGAAATTCTAACATCTAAGCAGGTCAGACACAATGCTTATAAAAACATCCTACACTACTTGTCTATTGAGCAAAGCAGTTAAAAACTCTTCAGTACCTCTGATTCTCCCCTAAAATGAGTTTGCTTCTTATAGATTGTCAAGTGCCATTTTTCTATCTGTTCATCTAAATTCTACATTTAGGATTATTCCTCACCAGCTTATCTAAACATAGCTATGAATTATCACTTTTTCAGCTGCAAAATTTGAATTGTTTCACTGTGGGTTTTCTTGTCCAATACAGAGAGATTGAATTTCTGTCGGTACCTTTAAAGCTCTGTCCACCTCTTGCCTAACTCCAAAATCTTATTAACTGTGCCTTATCACTTCCCATTTTGTTTTAAAATCCTCACTGACTCCTTCACTTGTTTCCTTACTCGCTGTTTCAGTGCAAACCGAACACTGAAGTTAAGGTTCTCATCAAATGAACCACGGCTTTCAGGTAGAAGGCATCACAATTGATGCTCAACATACTTCTTTGCTCAATCTGTATCTCCCTTTGGTCAAGGTCCACTAGGTACTTAAATATGTAATAAGCATTATACACACTGAGAAGCAGATTTCTGGATTAAGAATTGTATTTTTTCTGTCAGAAACCAGCACTGGATCTTCAGATACCTGCTTTGTTCTGTGAGCATTTAGAACAAACTCTTCTAGTGGAGATTCTTCAAACAATGAAGTTCCATCAGCAAATTCCATGGATCCAAACGCATGTGGCACATGGCTGCAACCTGGCACACTTTCAGATGTCACAGCCTTTTCAGACTGAAAAGAAGCGTTCAGTTGAGATTCTTCTGCAGGATTAAAAGGAAGATTTCATCAGAAAAAAATAATACCAGTAAAATCTAAATATGATTGCTTTGCAAGTTCCTAACTATGGCTAACAGCTAATGGAAGTCCACATGCCAACAGCCCCAATTTTATATCATGCTCTCAATATTGTAATTGTGGATTTGACATTCATATCAAGAGCAGAAGGGAAATTATTCTTAAAGCTCGAGTCATCTTTTACAACCTGTGTCAACAAGAGCAGCATCTCAGAGCCTTCCATTTGGAGACTTGGACCACAAGCTCTTTTCAACAAAAGTCAAACGACAGCCTGGAAAGAACTGAAGAAAAGAATGCCGTGAGGTCTGAAAGTGGCTCACAGAAAGGTAAACAAGTCATATCCAAAACATAGGATTGTGCCACCCGCAGCACTGCTTGAAGCAGTGTTTGGAAGCCTATGAGGAAGCCCAGGCAAAAGTTCCTTACTGAATCATGGAATTCAGTATTTCAGTCAAGATTGCTAACCTTCACATCTCACACCACACATGACTGTGGTATCAAAACATCTTTTGCTTCTAACAGCTCATTATGATTTCAGGAACATCCTTCCCATGGACTTATTTCATAGCACTTTGCCAATCCTGCATACAGCTACCTTATCAGTCCTGAGATAGAAAGGAGGCATTTTTGCAAGCTGTGTTCTACTGACAGATAAGTGTCTCCTGACCTGTGTGCACAGATGTCACAACGATGACGTGTCTCATTGCTAGTGAAAGCAGAAACAGCAGATCTAGGGAAGCTCTATGATGACTTACTAAAAAGCCCTTTCCAGAGGGCTGCTAGCTATGGGCAATCTCTATTCTGTAACTGAAATCACGTTCCATTACAATATGAATGCCTGAGCAGGATATCGTGACTATTGTGTTTCAGAAGAAATGGAGGCCATAATGATTTTTTTGGAATTTCCTTACACATAAAACAGTTTCCAATAAGGTGCTGTTACTCTTGTGCCATCAAATTCACAGAATCACAGACTGGGTTGGCAGGGACTTCGCAGCTCATCTGGTCCTACGTTCCTGCCCAAGCAGGGTCACCTAAAGCAGGCTGCCCCAAACTATTTCTGTCAGCTTTTGAAAATCTCCAAGGAGGGAAACTCCACAACATTTCTGGCCGATGTGTGGCAGTGCTTGGTCACCCACACACAGAATTTTTTCCTGATGTTTAGACAGAATCTCTTACAGTCCAGTTTCTGCCCATGTCCTGCCACTGGGCACCAATGAAAAGAGCCTGGCTGCACCTTCTTTGCATCCTCAGTCCAGTATTCACTCACAATAAGATCTTCCTGAGCCATCTCTTCCCAGGCTGAACAATGCCAGCTTATGTGAAAGGTTACATTCCCTCACTTTCTTGTCTTCACATGAGACCAGTTCTAATTAGAGGCATTTGCTGTTCAGGTATTTTGGCAGGTTGAGCATGTATTCAGATGCCTTACCTTCAGGCAGGCGGGTGAAGTTTGTTCTGACTACTGTGGAAGGACTGATAGGCTGCTGTGTTACGTGATTTTCATCATCGTATGTGAGGGCATAATGCATTTTTTCAATAGCAGCACTAACCAGACCTACCTGGCACCCATTTCACAAGTGGAGATAGAGCAACTTCACTGTTGCTGAACACAGAAAGACTAATGATCTGGGTGTGAAAGACTAACTCACTGTGATCACAGAAATCACATTATTATTAGCTACGCGATATGGTTTAGTAGCCTGTGGTACTAATAGGAATGGGAGGCTGGTTGCACTAGATGATCTTGCAGGTCGTTTCCAACCTTGCAATTCTGTGATTCTGTGACCAGCAGTTCAAGGGAGGTGATGCTGCCCCTCTGCTCTGCTCTCACTGACACACCATCTGCAGCACTGAGCCCAGATCTGCAGCCCTCAGCACAAGGACACGGAGTTGTTCAGCAGGTCCAGAGGAGGGCCACAAAGATGATCAGAGGGCTGAAACACCTCAGCTGTAGGGAAAGGCTGAGAGAGCTGGAGCTCATCAATGTGGAGAAGAGAAGGCTCCAGGGAGACCTTGTAGTGGCCTCCCAGTACCAGAAGGGCCCTACAGGAAAACTGGGGAGGGACTTTTTAGGAGGCCAGGTAGTGACAGGACAAGGGGAAATGGCTTAAACTGGAAAAGGGAAGATTTAGACTACATACTAGGAAGAAATTTTTTACAGTGGGGATAGTGAGACACTGCAACAGGTTGTCCAGCAAGGTTGTGAATGCCTCCTCCTTCCAAGCATTCAAAGCCAGGCTGGATAGGACTTCTGAGCAACCTGATCTAGGGGGAAGTATTCCCTGCCTACAAATACTAGATAATCTTAAAGGTCCCTTCCAATCCATACCATTCTATGATTCTACTCTATGATTCTATATTCATAAGGCTATTCTTGTTCTCTAATTTGTTGTGCTACTTGAATAGAATAATCTTGCACAGAACTTGCTTAGAAGATGCAATTAAATCTGCTGAAGCCTAAGGAAACAGACTGCTGGACCTTCACCCTGCTGCAAGTAAAGAAAGCCACAGACCTTACTCTAACTGCAAGATAAGGAAGTAAGAAAGACTAAATTGAGACTCTGCAAGCATTGGCAGATCTCACAGTCCTGAAGATTGGAGAAAACAATCCACCAAGAGACAATGAAAGGAACCAATCCAGAGCAGGAAGGTCTCCAACCTCAATAGTACTATGGGTCTTCATGGCTGACGGGGAAGATGCAGCAAAAGGGCATTTCTCTGTGCAAGGTCCTTCTTCAAGAGCAATCACCTCGAGTTTCTTGCGTAACTTCAACTCTGTATGGCTTTTATTTTTTTTAGTGGGGAATCAACCACCAGCCTAAGAAGCCTGTATCAGCAGCTGGCCACACTAACAGTAAATAAATGTTTCCTATTGTCTGGTCTGAACTTCCCCTGATGCAGCTCTGGGCCATTCCTGATCGTCCTGTCACTGGTTCCCAGGTAAACACAGCACCTTCCTCTGCTCTCCCCTCTTCAGGGAGCTGCAGAGAGCAAAGAGGTCATCTCCTGGCCTTTTCTTCTCTGGACTAGGCAATGCAAGTGCCCTCAGCCTCTCCCCAGAGCACACACCTTCCAGTCCTGTTAGCAGCTTTGTTCCCCTCCTCCTGGCTGCCAGGGCACACCACTGGCTCACGTTAAACTTGCTGACCCCACCACCTCTAGACCCTGTCCTAGTACTGCTCTCCAGACACTTGTCTCCTCATCTGCATGTTTGTTCCTATTCCATTGCTGGTACAGTGTCTGGCATTTTCCTCTGCTGATTGCCTAACGCTCTGATCTATCTAGATTCTTCTGCAAGGTCTCCCATCCCTCCAGGGAGCCTCCAGCACTTCCCAGTTAAATATCATCAGCTGCAGAGGATGCACGCCTCTCCTGCGTCCAAGTCAATGGGAGCCCCATTCACTGTGACTCTGAGCTCTGCCACTGAGCCACTCAGTACAGCCTGTACCTGTCCATCTCACATTTGGATGACCTGTCTGGAAGGATGCCACGAGGGACAGGATCAAAGGCCTCCCTGAAATCTAGAAAGATCACATCCTCTGCTTTCATACACAAACTGAGTGGCCGTATCATAGAACAAGATTTGACGACCAAGACTGGCTGCACACATCTCTCTTACAGATGTTGAGGCCACCAGGCTGTTTACCCAGGCAGAGCTTCGGCACACAGCAGCGTTTTACCAGAATGTTGTGCTGAACTCTAACACTTACCCCTGGCTTGCTGGCTGTGTTGTACTGCACGTCGTTTGTGATGGAATCCTGAAGTGGATGCGCTTGCCACGAACCTTCCTGGATTGAAGCAAGAGATAGGTTGTGACATCTGGTCACAATTCCACCTGAAAACAAGAGTATTTAGATCTCTTCAGAGAAGTTGTCAGTACAAACAAAGCTTAGCGTTCCAAACGTTTCTGCATGTCTGGAATATCTTCCCCTTGATGTGCAACCTTCACACCTGATCACATCAGGCTAGTTTCAGACCTTAGCTGCTCACACAACAAGTTTAAGATAAAGAAGCAGACTGCTCTTGTTTTTGCTTGAGAGCAGGACAATTGCTGAAAGAGAAAAGTAAAGCTGGTGCCAGAACGGCTCTACTGAAGTGAATGGCAAAGCTCCTGTTAATGCATTTTGCACAGTATTCCATCTGAACTCCCATTTTTGGGGGTCATGTTTCAGCCCAGCTCCAAGGAGCATCAACATTCAACTCGATTTTCAGCAGCTTATTGACTACTATGAGAACCATGGGTAAAATGCTTGATAGACTGACAGTGCAGTACAATCAGCTTGAATTACTTGTAAGGCATTAGAAGTCCTCTGATAAAGGACTGTGAAAATATCACAGACTAACATGGAAGAACTTCTTCCCCTTGTAGGCAGATTGTTCTCATTATTTTTTGTACCTGAAAAAAAGTAGACGTGCCTCTCCTAGGTAAAACTTACATTTTATATCTATTCCTACTAAAGTTATGTGGAAATCTTAACAATCCTTCCAAATTCTACCACTTTCTATTTAATAGAAAGACAATTCAATTTCAAGAAACAATTTTCAGATTCAGGTTAAAGCCAGAGTACTCATCGTGTTTTAAATCTCTTCTGCAGCTTGGAATGTCATTAGTGACATTGATACAGTATCTCTAGAAGCACTCAGTTTAGCTTTTCTCATTTATTTTCAAAAGTTACTAGGATGGATTCATTTCTTTAAGAGTTTGTGAGCTGTAATTCCCAAAACTTGTTTGGTTGTCTGAGTGAGGTGTTGATATTTTCCACTTCTTAATGAAACATTTCAGAGCAGTGAGTTCAGCCAGCACCTGACACCTGCTGTGCATCCATACGTTTCTGTTTTGAGTCTATCTGGACTTCCAGAGATTCATCAGGATTTTAGCACGGTAGAAAATAACAGAAAGGCTTAGGAAACAAAACTAAAGGAGAAAAATAGAATAAATGTGAACTTCAGAAATGTAGTTATTAGCTACAGATAGACTGTGGAGTTCAGCAGGGGTACCTTAGCTCTGAAAGGTATGAAAGATCTCATGTTTGAGAAGAAGCAAGCATTAGAGTCTGTTAATACAGAAAGGTTATTTACTGTAGTAGTGAGCTTAAATACAATGAGTTACATACATTCATTACCTCTGATATTAATGCTGATATACTCTCTCTGCTCTGGTGGTGAAACACAGCAAGTTCTGTTGCACAGTCTTCATCAAGGTGCCCCAGCTGCAAGAACAAGACCTGTACTGAAGAAACAGCTTCCAAGTCATCTCACAGAGCCAATATCACCATGATAGTCTTCTGATATGCAGCAATCAAGTCAATAGTTAGCCACCATTTCAGATTTTCTATTTTAAATAGTTAGCATCAGGGCTAAATACTGCAAGGAGTAAACAGAGTCACCAAACTTCAGCAACTGGTCCCTCTGTGGCAACAGGTTCTGCATTCAAGTACAAAAGCCTGCCAGCAGATGAGATTTTCACTAGAGCACAAGTTACACCTCTATCCCTTCTTAATTATTCAGTTGCACGGCATGCACAGCACAGTGGTGTAAGATCAGCACAGCTGTTCTTCAGAGAAACAGTGGCACCCAGAGGCCAGCAGCAGCCATTGGCTGCAAATACACAGCAACTTCAGGATCCACAGCAAGAATCTCCCTCACACCCCCAATTCCCACCCCCACCCCAACCCCGCTACCCGAACCTCTCACACAGGTCAGACAATTGAGAGATAAGGAGCACAAGCACAGCTCCAGAGAATCATAGAACGGCTTGAGTTGGAAGGGACCTTAAAGACCATCAAGCTCCAAGTTGCAAAGCTGCAACTCACCAGATCAAACTGCCCAGGCCTCATCCAACCCGGCCCTGAATACCACCAGGAGGAGACATCCCTACCTCCTGTTTGATCCACCGCACCTCTCAGCACGGGGCTGCCTGCAAACTTTCTGAAGGTGCAGAAGAACTGGAGACAGTTATTCTTTTCCTAAGAACTTCAAGGTGCCTGGAAGCACAAATAGTATTTATTAGTATTTCGTATATTAATAATACTATTAGTATTTATTCCCTTCACCAGAAGGAAGGTCAAACACCTGAGCTGTAAAGAACAGTTACAGCACCTATGGTTACAGTAAATGTTCCACGAGCATTTTGTATGTGAGACGGCGTAGATGCAGCCCAAAGGCACACTCAGTACGTTCAGCTTCCTTTGAGAAACAGCTTTTGTGTACTGATCACTTTTAATTACACAGCACAATTAAGAACATCCAAATGCAAGCTGCTTGAAGACTGTGTAATTATTAAAACTGTAATCATTTCCATAACCATTAACTAGTACTACGTCATTATTGGAGAATTTTCAGCACAAGGCAATGCTAACCTTTTCTTCAAGGACATCAGGCGTGGAGCAGTTTAACTTGTTTAAACACTGCATATTTTCTAAGCACTCCATCAATGTTTTGAGCTGACACTCAATGCCAGACACTGTACCAGCAATGGAATAGGAACAAACATGCAGATGAGGAGACAACAGCATTTTGTAGATCACTCTGAATAGAAGCAGCTCTTTTACCTGCAGCAGTTGGTCAAGTAGCAGCGTGCTGCTAGGGGAAAGCCATTTTGGAACAGTGTGTTTTCCTCTCTGTAATAAAAAAGTTATTTTCTTCACTAAAATAAGAGAGGATTGAGAATGAACCTTGAACAACTAGCTCAAAAGGAACTACTAAATTATTTGGATGATATTGACATCTCTTTTCTTTCAAAGCGTAGGAACAGAGATTACAAACTCTGCTTTAAGAACAGCTTGAATAAATTTAATGGTAAAAATCAACACGTGCTTGGCTGAGGGCAATGCTGGAAGGGAAACTGCTCCCAAGAGCTACAAAATGCCCAACAGCACACCAGAAACACTTTGTTCTAACAGCAGTTATGGCACATAGTCAATTTCCTTAAGTATTTCCAAAATGAAGCGATGTGGAGCATTACAGGGAAAAGAACACTGAACACAGATGCTGTGATCCTGATTGGATTCAAGCAGCAGACTTAAACCAATTCTGAGTTTTAGATTCCAGGATATCTCAGGATCTGTAACGTGTGACAGTCAATTAATTACACAACAATGCCTCTGTGTCTGCATTTCAAGCACTTTTCAGATCACAGCCACATAAAATTAAAACAAATTCAGTGCAGAAATAGCAAGCCAGTATCTTAATGCTTGTGAGAGTATCCATTTTTTACTGCATTCTGACTCAGTTCTGAAACTTGCTCATCCCAGTTCACTTAAACAAGTTCCACCAGTTCAAGCACTGCAGCCCTCAGCTCCTGTGTGCATCAGACAGATAGAACTAAATGGTGCAGAAACAATCTTGGACAGCTTTAAGAGCTCCATTCTGCTTACAAGCTCTCAGTCCAAAACTACCCACAATTTTAAGGAAATGTACACCTGAAGCAGTTGGATCATTTTCCATTTGCCACGTTCTGCACATTGGAGTAGTGATCAGCACAAAGGATTTTCTGCAGTCCTGCGGAAATGGACAACGTCCTAATTACAAAGGGACAAGGGCTCAGTGCACAACACAGTTCACACCAGCCTGAAAAGCCCTGTCACTCGATTCACACGCTCAGGTTGTTGTGCGCTCTGAAAGGAAACAGAACGAACTGCTGAACTCGAAGGCAATCAGTGGGGTCCTACATTTCCTCCTGGTTCTGGAAGAGGAAATTCTGAATATTTGAATAATATAAAATTCTAATTATCTGAATAATCTGAATAGATGCAGAACTTTGCTCTTCCTAGACATGAGAAGATCTGGCATTCAATAACTTTCATTGCTGGTAAATCAAACGATGCATTTATATTTTTACTACAGGTAGTACAGGGAGCAGCCAGTTGAAGAACCAGATACAGAAATTAGCCCATTGGCAAGTAAATACTTCTCCTTAAATTCTGCATGCTATCATATTATATAATCAGGCTACAGCGCCGCATAGGCCAACCAAGTGTAGAACCAGATCCACAAAATACTGGTAGACAAAGCAGCAAAAAAGGGGACAATATTCAGCAGACAGGCCTTTCCACACACAGCACAGCCCAGCATGTTCTGCCATCAGAAAAGCAAGGCCTCTTGTCATGCTCAGCTATTTCCCTTCTCAGTGTATTCTAGCACCATCGATACCTCCTGTTGTCCTCCTGCAGAGTGCCATCACACTGCCATCATCAAAAGGAAGAAACCCACACAGCAGAGCGTACCGCAGTGCACCCATGCTCCAAAAATCTGCCTAAAAAATAAAAGGACAAGTTTACAAACCTGAAGCACCTAAAATGGCTTACTGACAGATTGTATTGTCTGCCCTTGCCAAAGGCCACATGCAGCCTGTGAAAAGCTGGCTCTTTCCCTCAGGAAAAAAGCCTTATGGCTCCAGACAAAGCATATGACCCTAATTCAATTGCTCTTCCGCTCAACTTAAAGCACTACTAAAACCAATATCTTCATCTTAGCTCATCACCCTTCTGCAGTACCTTATACCTACAAGGATTTCACTGGCAAAAATGAAATCAAACCCATCACAAAGGATTTGGCACAGTTACGTGCTACTGGCTACAACGAGAGCTGCCAGCAGTCAGCTGTGAGGCTCTGCTGCTGTTCTCTTTATGTACAGGCACAACAAGGCTCTACACCTCACAGTGCAATTCTCACTTTGACTGTAAAGAAAAAGGAGGCTTGAAAAGCAGTCTGGGGAAAACAAACAAATAAAGCAAGAATTAGAAGCCATCAACAGCGGTGCAATGGTACCCGAAAGAATTGCTCCATCTTTAACAGCAGAGCAATTCAACAAGCATGAGGGCATTTCAAACCAGACCAGTTGGGACAGATGAACAACTGCAAGTAGTGGGTTCCAAAGTTCTAGACATGAAATCAAAGCTGGAAAAACTCTTCACGTTTTCATCTCTCAATTTTTAGTACGTTGTGCATTACAATGGAAGCAAGTCTTCAACACAACTTGGAAGCTAAAGACAAGTCTAACAAAACACGTAACATCCTGAGACCGCACCAAAGTTTGACCAATGATGGACAATTAGCAGAGCAAATCGCTCTTTCAAAAACTTACTAATAGAAGGAGATCTCTGAAGTTGCTGTTTTATAGAGCCCCAAAGTAGGGAACAATTGGTGGAGACAGATGAGGATCAGCCAGAGACAAACCAGCCAGCTGTGTGAACTGCGGCCCATTGCACTTTTCAGTCTGTGGCCACTGACAGCTTCTGAGAGCCACTGAGCAATGCAACCCAGCAGAATTCAGGAGGGGAACCAAGTGAGTGTATCTGAGCTCCACTGCCTTTAAACGCTCTCTGGGGAGGGAAAGAGGGGAGAGGTGCAAAACAGACAAACTCTGGTCTGCATACCTCTGAGCCAATATAGGCTTTGCCCTGGATAAGCTCTGGTGCTGCACATGCTGGGCTCCCACAGCACGTGTTCAGGTGGTCATCAAGGCCTCCCTGGAATAACACAGAAAACAGAAGAGTTTGCTTTAACAGAGTTCATGCTTTCTGTAAGGACACTTCAGAAGCCTCAGAGGCTTCTTCTCCTGGGCATACTTTCATTCATTATATATTTGGTTTTCATTCAATAGTGACCTCACTAAGCAAATATTGTCTGAGACCATGAGCATTGTACAACTATACAGATCCCAAGCTGCTCACTTATCTGATGTATCCTTGGCATGATGCATTATTTCCCTTAGCTGATCACCTACTAAGATGAACTGCCTGTGCAAACACAGACCTGAGAAAGAAGTCATGCAAGAGCTGTTGTGTTTGAGGCTCGCTGGTCATTTAGAACAACTTAATGCAATCACTTTACAAACTTGACAAAGAACAACTGATAGAATACTTCCTTATTCAGAGTATCCTATTACTCTACTTGAATTTTGTTCTAAACAGGTCAGAGCAAGATGACATTATACCACTGGGACAACAGCCTGTTGGGCTTGGTTACCTGCGAGAGGCTCTAAATTTGGCCAGGAAAAGCAATTTGAGGATAAGTAATTCTCTTTGAATCAGGAAGGCATTCTTCCCATTGAATTCTTTCTTACCAGCACCCATCTGGCATGTTAAGTAAAGGCTCCTAGAAAGCAGTTTTAAGATCAAGAAACAATTCAGTTCAAGCATAAACAACCACAGGATCTGTTTGTCACCTGCAAAACTCATTTGGCTTTATCCATGATCTCAATCTACACACAGTTCCTTCGAAGAAATAATGGCATGCCAGCCCAGTGCTCCTATGGCAGGCCCTTGCATAAGACAGGTGATACATGTACAAGATTATCTACGACTTACACTATGAAAATAGGAAGTCTGGGTAGAGAAAAGAATCTGAGCATGCTTCTGAGCAATCTGTTCACTCTCACACAGCTAAGGCCCTTCCAAGCAAGATGCAACTGCATGTCAACCATAGAGACAGCTTGAATGTAGGGTGTTTGGGCAAGTCCCTGTTGCATACTGTAGAAAAACATGCATTACTTGGGGGCACATTATATTTGATTTCAGATACTCTTACCTTTGGCTTTGCACAGAGTCCAAAGTCTGTCAGCTTCAAATTATGAGAAACATGTTTCTCATCAATCAGCGGATTTTCCTGGTGAATGAAAAAGCAGTCAGGAATTATTTTCTCCTGAACACTCAAGGAAACATATTTTCTCTTCTGTTATTTCTTGTTGTGGTCAGCAGTCTACTAAAAGCCCTCTCTCTTTCTCTTAGAGATTTTCAGTGACTGCTAACAAGTTCCCATATCCTAGGTGGGAAATACTGGTTTGTATCTGTTAGAAAGGGCCTGGGGACTAGGAGGACAAGTGGTGAAAGACCACAAGATGAATGCAAGCCAGCAGTGTGTGCTGACAGGAAAAAAAAGCACAACAGGATAATTAGCTGCATTAAAAAGCAGCACAACCAGACCAGGACAAGTCACCCCTGTTTCACACTCATTGGACCACATTTACAATACTGTATTTAGTTTCTGGCGAGGAAAGATAACAACCCAAAGCAAGTTTTGTGGATGGCCTCCAGTCAGCGCAGGGAGCTGAAGCTCCCACTCTGTGAAAAGAAACTGGGGAGAAAGAGGTTTGTTCAGAGTGCAGAGGAACCTCGTGGCAACTTCTAAACGCCCACAAGGGAGGCATGAAGACAGACTGAGAATCTGTACAGCAGGTCATGGTGGGAGAGTGACAGAAAACAGTCGTTCATTGAAACAGCAGACTGGATATAAGGAAACAAAACTGCTCAAGCATTGAACAGATTGCCCACAGAGAGCATGCAGCCTCATCCTTGGGAGAGGTTGAGGACGAAAACGAAAAAGCTCTGAGAAACTTGATGTCAGGATTCTCGGAGCAGCAGGTTCAGGCACAAATCTCTAGAAGTCACCTCCGTTCCAAGTTACTGTCTGAGCCTGTGAATCCATCAACTTTTCAGCTGGAAGCCAGTTGCTTCCAAAAAGTACAGGCAATGCTTTATTTTTCAGAGCGGAAAGATTCTTTAGATACGAGGATTTCATAAGATGCCTAGGAAAATGCTTGTGCTGTAATGATTTGCTTTACTCAGCGATATCAGCAACTTAAGAAATGCAAAGTTCTAACCTACTTGTGCAGAAAGACCCAAACCTTCCAGTATCTAACCTGTGCTTAAAGCCTTCAGTGACAGAAAACCCACTGGATGCAGCCAGAGGCATGCATCTCATCCCATACTCTGCACAGCCACTGTTTGTTTAAAGGATCACTCTTCCTTGAGGCACAAAACTGGAGCAATCTACATAACAGACTGACACCACAAGGGTTCTCTCTAGATACAAACTGCAACAAAGGGCATAAGGAAAGTGTGAAAACAACATTCATACCCAATCTGTGTCTCTGCTCCACTCCCATTAGGGCCTTGATGTTTTACTCCCCTTTCAGAGGAAGATACTTCTTCAAGGATAACAAAATCCAGCTCAGCTGCAGAACATAGTATTGAATGGTAATAATTATCTAACATCTTCTGTAATGGAAGAGTTCTAAGCACAAGATAATGAAGGGTGTCTGAGTTTCAGCTTGGATGGAATTGTTTTCTTCAGTGTCTGATATGATACTCCAGTTTTGCTCTAGATTGCACACTGACATCTGTAGTTACTGCTAGGCAGTGTTGCACAGAGCCAAAGTCATTCTCAGCTGAGAGCCCAAGGAAGTGAGAGGGAACAGAATTAGGATAGCTGACTTAAACTGGCCAAAGGGAGATCCCATACCATATGACATGGTGTGGAAGGAGTTCTGAAGGGCGTAGAAGTTCATGTAAATCTCTTCTACTCCTAGGAGCCTAACTGGACATTGATTGGTAGGTGGTGAGCAATTGCTTTTGCATTCATCGTAACTGTTATCCTTTTCCTTTCCTCTATCTCAGTAAATAATTTTATCTCAACCCATGAGTTCTACTTTGTGTTGTTTTCTCCCCCCTTCCATTATCTCCTGCAGTTCACTGGAAAGCAGTGGATTGAGTGAAGCACTGCGTGATGCTCAGGCACCTGCCAGGTTAAATAAACCACAACCACAAAGGAACAACTTTCTCTCCCAATGGAAAAATAAAAACACGTTCATTATTATTTATGAAAGACTGAATACAGTTCAAACTTACTGGTTTGAGGTCTCTGTGGGCACGACCCTGACTGGGAACATAAGCAATTGCTGAAACAGTCTGTCGAAAAAAGACTCGAGCTTCCTCTTCTGAAAGGTGGTCCTTAGAAACAATATAATCAAACAGCTTCCCTCCAGGACAGTGCTTTAATGAGAAAGGTAAAGTTATCTGACAACGTGTTTAGAATGCATCAGAGAAAAATAAGCAGCAGTGAGAGCACAGCAAGCACAGGACACCATTCCCCGTGCTCAGTCAGAGCAGTACAGAGTGCTCCAGTTATGCCATGGGCCAGCACTGTGGCACACCACACAAGCTACACAATCTGACCCTTGCCTCCAATCTGGTAACTGAGGCACTGCACTCAATGTCGTGGGTGGCATAAATCACTCAGGAGATGGCAACAACGTGGGGGCTCTGGTGTCCTGCAGACCTTGCAGATGCTACTTTAAAAACTGAGTGTGAGTTAGGAATTAAAACCAGTTCCCTTACTGTGAATGCTGATTAGTGCCTTTTACAGAAAGACAGAATACAGAACACTGTATTCTTAATTTTAAAACCAATGAATCTTGAACCCATTCACCATTGAGATATTTAAGAATCATTTCATTTCAGCTTCATTTTTATATTATTGTCTACTGCTAAAGATAAAAATAGTAGCCTTAAGCGTGGCACAAACACTATTTCTTACCTCCAAGACCATGAATATTTTCTTTGATGTCTCTATCACATGATGCAATTGGCAAACATCTTGATGACTTAAGTTCTTCATGGCACCAATTTCTGTTCTAACACGAGGCAAGTCATCCTTAAGAGACCATAAAAGCAAGCTATGAAATTGCTAATTAATTTGGCACACCAGGTACCACATCTGACTACTGTGTAACATAAGATGTCAAAGCCTGTATGTGACAGTACACAATTCAGCATCAACTCAGCAACGGCTGACATTGCTCCCACAGGAATTCTGAAACACAGATCAGCGAAAGCTGAAAGGTAAAATATCCAGTATTTTCATTAGCACTTTGTTAAAGTTGCTGCAATAATGTTGAACTTCCTCCATTTTACAGCCAGAGAGCATTGCCCTCTGAACAACGAGGAACAAGATTTGTGGTGTTCTGCTCATCTTTTTCCACTCCTACAGCATCCTTCATAAGGCAATGGCACTAGTATGCTGCACTTCTATATACCACCTCCCTGTGTTCTTGTGAACTCCACAACTCCAACAGAAGGTGTTATCATATTTAAATATCTTTCGGCTTACCCCTAAAGCAACTTGGTCCATGATTTTTGTTGCAACTTCTTCACCAGTAAGAAGATGCCGTCCGAGTTTCACCTTTGCAAAACCACCTAAAATTCAAAACAGAAACACCTAAAGTTGAGTGTGAATTCTTCTCTAATATAATGGTACAGGGAAAGCAGAGTACCTAGCACACATTGTGTGTAATGTTTTAATTAGAGGAAGAGGTGATCAGCGTAATCAATTCCCAACTGGTTTCAAAATTCAATTTCAAGTTTATACACGTGAAACCTGATGTAGGGATCTTATAAGAGCAGTTGATCTATTCTCAGATAAAGAGAGTGCTGAGTCAGACTGTTAGCACGCTGTTTTTGTACAAAGATCACGCTTACCCGTTCCAATTGTTTCATGTAATTCATAGTGCTTGAGAATTTCCTGGTAGTCGATGGCAGACATCCTGAATTCCACAAGACCTTGAGATCCTCCAAGCACCTGCAGTGAGGAAGAGCCAGCAGGGTTTACATCTTACTTAGGACACACTCTTAGAAGCACAAGGGGCAGCTCCAGCACTGCCCATCTCCTCACCAAAGCACATCCTGTCTCACCTGGCAGTAACAAATCACACTGCATGGCTCGGACTTCCCTATTGCTAACAGTACAGAACACTGCTCAGAGCTTCGTGCCACAGAGCAGCAGCAGGGCTGGACTACAGCTCTAGAATCACAAGAATCATAGAATCACAACTTTGAAAACCACCTGCAAGATCATCTAGTTCCAGCCGCCCTCCCGTCACCACTGCTCCCACAAGCACTAAACCAGATCTCGCAGCTCCTCATCCAGACGCCTCTTGGACACTGCCAGGGACGGCGACCCTGCCACCTCTCTGGGCAGCCAGTAGCCTATCCTAATTCTGTTTCTCTCCCTGAGAGAAAAAGTTCTTCCTTATGTCTAACCTAGACCTCTTCTGCTACAACTTCTTGCCATTTCGTCGAGTCCTCTTTGTTGCCTGGGAGAAGAGGCCAAACCCCTCCTCATCACAAGGAGCTTCAGGAAGTTGTAGAGTGCTATGAGGCCTCCCCTGAGCCCCCTCTTCTGCAGACTGAACAATCCCAGCTCCCTCAGCTGCGGTTCATAAGACTTGTGCTCCAGACCCCTCACCAGTTTCGTTGCCCTTCTCAAGACACACTCCAGGGTCTCCATATCTTTCTTGCAGTGAGGGGCCTAAAACCAAACACAATACTCGAGGTGCGGCCTCACCACAGCTGAGTACAGGGGGATGATCACCTCCCTGCTCCTGCTGGCCACACCATTTCTAATGCAGGCCAGGAGGCTGCTGGCCCTCTTGGCCACCTGGGCACGCTGCTGGCTCGTGTTCAGCCGAGCACCCCCAGGTCCCTTTCCTCTTCACACTCATCCAGCCACTCAGCCCCAAGCCTGGAACGCTCCATGCGGGTTATTGTGGCCAACCTGCAGGACCCGGCACTCGGCCTTGCTGAACCTCGTTAGGAAGCAGCGGGAGCCTCTCCCCATAGGGCTAAGCGGCCCAGCAGCGCTCTGTCCGTTAGCAGGGCCGTCTCAGCTTCGATCCCACCCCGCGCGCCGCTCCGGCACAGCGCAGCCCGGCCTTTCTGCAGGCCGCCCCAGGAAGGGCCGCTCCACCCGATGAGCCCCGCCGCCTCAGCGCAGACACACGAAGCGCTACTCCCAGCCCCCCAACCCCCTTTCCAGCGCAACCCGGCCTCCGCCGCATACCGGATCCGCGCTCCGACGGGCCGAAAGAGAGCGGGGCAGCCGGCAGCTGCACAGAGCGCGGCCCGGCCGACAGCTCGCGTTCGAACTTCGCTGTCGGAACGCTCACTTCCGGTCAGGGGAGAGGATGGACCAATCACCGCAGCGCCGAAACCGGAACGGCTGTTGTCGCGCAGTGCATGATGGGAGGAAGGTAGGAACGGGATGCAGAGCGGTGCCACGGCGGCGCCATGTTGAGTGGGTCTCCGGCTCCACTGCCGCGCCGAAGGGAGATGGAACGCGGTGGTGAAACTGAATTTACGCAGCCCAAGGAGGCCCGGATTGCCGCATAACGCACGTTAATGACGAATCTGTCAGAGCCGTTTTATCACTGCCCCCAAACGCACTCTGAGTGCTGTAGGAGCATCAGTGGAATTTTGAATAAACTCAGCATATTTTAGCAAAGCTGCAACAGCTGCGTGACAGAACTTTGGGAAAAAAGTAATCTTTAACGAATGTTGAACAGTGTTATTTAATTATCATCCGGTAATTAAATTAATCAAAAAAAGGGAATCACCTCCCAGCCAATCAGCTCCCAGCCAAGCAGGTGTGACCAGCCCGAGCTGCTCCTACACTCCAGGGCCCATGGAGTCTTACCAAGGGGTCTCCAAGGACTCCCCTGTTGACTCCGGCTTCCAGTGCTCCCTAATGTGCCACAGAGGTTTCTCAGGGCCCCACAGTTTGCTCTGCAGATATCCAGACACGCCCCAGAGCAGTCATGCGTGCTGCAGGGGGACCAAGCGACATCTCAGAGCACCCTAGTGCCTTCTGCATCCTGCTCAGTTTCTTGGTCAGTTCCTTTAGAAAGAAAGCAGGACAGTAGGAATGGATGTGATGCGCTCTCATCAGGAACTGAGCTACTCCAATCCTGAGCTCAGGCAAAGTCTGCTGTCCCAGCCCCCCACAGCCACTGTCTCCCCCTCCGTTGCCCAAGGACTTTTGGGACCTCCCAGGAACTGGAGGGTGCCGACCGTCTCATGCCTCCTCAGCTCCTATGCAAGGCCTTCACACCCTGTGCTGTGAGCATCACCAACCACCACAGCCAGCTATCTGCAGGCTGAAATTCAAGCTCCAGCACAAGCACCTTCAGAATCAGCATCTCCAGCCCATGGC